TATATATAAAATAGAGAGGGAGTCTTACAATTCTGCAGGTTTATTATGTGACTCATTAAGCCAGTCACCTCACCTAAATCAAATTGTACATATTATGTATTTTTATATTCAATAGAGTATGTTACATAGAAGCTCAGGCTTCCATAACAAAATACCTAAGGATGTGTGGCTGGAAACACAAATTTACTTTCTCACAGCTTTGAAAGCTGGAGGCTCAGATACAACTTCCGCAGAGTTCCGGCTCCAGTAGGACTCCCTTCCCGGCATCCAGATGGCCCTTTTCTCACTGTCCTGGTGCAAGTGTAGACAGGAAGAGAGAGGGGCACAGGGTGTGAGCTCTGGTTTCCAGAACCGTATTTCTTGGCCTGAAGTTGGTGTAAGTAACACTGTCACTGTAAGTCATGCCAGAACTAACAGTGTAGAATGCCTGTGGAATGAGAATTCCTTTATATTTTGTGTAACCTGTGTAATTCACCCACTGCGCCAAATTGTATTCTCTTCATGTTAGGTGTTGAGTTGTATTTCTTGATATCTTCAAAGAATTTAAAAATAAAACAATTTTTAATTAGTAGTTGTCTCCACCACATTTGGAAACAGCATTTAAAAAAATTGTATTCAGGATTATATTCTTTCCTTAGATCTGGGGAGCAAACAGAAGAAGCAGAAAAGGATGTTTGCACTTTGCCGCTGTCAAATGGACACTGTTGGGCACCAATATGCCCCAGTTCTTAAATTCATTCAACAAATTTTTGCCGGGCCAATTACACGATACGTAGTGTTCTACTACTATGAATTCAATGGCAGACATTCTTCTAAGTTTCTTAATACTTTTCAAATAAGGGGTCTCAATTTTACTTTGTACTGCGCTTAGGAATGACATAAGCGAACACAACTAGCAGGTATTGTTTTTACTCTTCAACTTTATTGGAATTTGATTTATATAAAATAAAATGCACCCATTTAAAAATATCCACTTGAATAAATTTTTACAAATGGATACATACATGTAACCTTCAGTCAAGATACAGAATCTTCCCGTCACTACAAAATGTTCTGTCTTTGAGTTTTGCAATTGTGCCCTTACTTCAGCCACTGATCTACCTTCTTTCTTGATTTGTTTTTGCTGTTACATAATTTCACATATACGGAAACATCATATGTATCAATTGACTTTCTTCACTCATTGGTGGAAGTATGTCATTTTGGGGAAAATATCATTTTGGGAAAGAATTTGAAGATTTATGAAGTTAAGTATGCCTTAGCATGTGACCCAGCAATGCCACTACTAGATATTAACACATAAGTAATGAAAACATGCCCATACAAAGATTTGCACATAGATATTTTAACAGTTTTATTTATAATAGTTAAAAACTGGAGCCAATATGTTTCATACTTGGTATTCTTTTCAAGAGCCATGGTTTTGTGGTGTGGCTCACAAAATTAGGGTTTAATCCTTTTACTATATTTCCTCCAAAATAATATCTAACTGGAAAATAAGCCCTAGCATGATTTTTCAGAATGCTTGGAATATAGGACCTACCTCAACAGTAAGCCCCAGTTAAGATCATCAGATGGATGGGTGCATTTAGTATGTCTGTTGCAACACATAGCAGATGTACTGAGTTATAAAATAATATGTATATAATTAATATAAAAATATAAATGAAATATTTGTAAATATCCAAGTGGGCACCTTTGGACGAGGGGTAAATGCCTGTGTAAACAGATGAACTCAAATGGACATTGTCTAATGACCACTTGGATTACAGACAGCACAAATAACAGACATACTTGATAATGAACAGATGTGGTTGTTACATGAATATAAACCTTCATAATTCGATTCATGTGTTGTAATGGACATACTAATGTACTTGTGTGAAATAAACTCGGAATTTTTATGCCTGCAACCTTTCAGCACTTTTGTGTGGACCATCATTCTTTAACTGTCATTTTTGTTGTCACTCCTGCCTCTCAAGTCTTCAGTTAACACGTGATTTAATGGAACTTTTGTGAGCCCCAGCCTGTAAGAGGTCCTGACTTGGGCAAAGAATTCATGGGATAAAATCACTGACAGATGGGTTGCCAATACACTATGAGCAGGGTACATGGAAACGAAGTGCTCATTTGAGGAGAGCCTTATTGCTGGATGTGAGAGATTGGGGCCAATGGTTCTACAGGAAGTGGAGTCAGAAGAGATTCAGGCCAGAATTCGGGGCTTGGAGAGTTACGACGATATTCCAGAAGAAGATGACATGGCTGTATTTAAATGTGGGGTTTTGTATATGAATCGATATAGATTTTTGTACATGAGTGAGTGAATAAAGGTAGATTGTTGTACATGAATAAATGTAGATAGTTGTATATGAAAAAATAAGACATCC